AAGAGGTCAACTTTTATTTTTAGCTACAAAATTGGATGTTAGAACATGCTCATTTACAAATAGAGTACTTGATGATTGAAACTTTCACAGGATGTTGTTTGTGATTCGTCAATAAATTGTATGAAATTTAACAATAAATACAATGAGTTAAAGAAGAACTAACCATTCGAAATTTCTCCCACGTAACTGATGAGTTTTCAAAGATGTTGTTGGAAGGACAAATGAGTTGATCTCCTAGATTTAAAAAATCAACGTAAGTTAATAAGTACATTTCATTATTTATAGAGTTCCTGTACTTTCGTCGCCATACTTCTACAATACTTGTTTACTGTTAGTTTTGCGTGGATGTTGCTGGAAGGTGTACATCTGCTGATGATGTCCAACATTAGTCTTCAGCATAAAAATCCAAAGACTTATGTTTACGTCATATCCGGCTGGGGTAGGTATTTCCGGGTCGTCCATTTTGTTTCCAAAGCTTTTAGAGGTTTATGTGATATTGTGTCAATGATCATTTTAGCAGATATAGTCATTAAACTACATAACATAACATGTCATTAACATTTATGGAATTAATTTTTGGTATTATTAGTATTGCCAAAAATGAATGTAAAAACTTAGATTTGAAACCAAGAGATAGGACCATCTTTTGAAAATGACGTAACCTATGTGCCGGTTATTAACTCATATTTTTATGTTTTATTGTGCTTTGTAGTGTCACCCCTAGTGATTGTGTTAATTTCGTTCCTAGTTAAGCCTTCAAGTTACGGGACAGAGAATTCGTGAGTTACACATTCACATTTTCGTTCTTCGTTACAATAAATTTCAGAATGAATCGTACTTTTTCTAGCTTTCAAGTTCCATGTTTTATTTAATTGTCTCTCCGCTGTTTGCATCAATCTTTAAATGGTATTAAAAAGCGGCGCCAGGATTTGCCCGACAGGGGTCCAATGTCCACGACAGGGTCGGGGGAGTCCGATGTTCCTGGCCGCGGGAGATGTCTTCGACGGTTGGAGGATGTCCCCGACTAAAAAGTAAGTGGGTGTGATCGGACGTCTCTCGGACGTGGTCTAGGGGAATCCCCTAGAAACTATGACTTTTGGGTTTTCAAAGGCTTCTTTAATCGATTGTAGAGACTACACCTACTAATGTAAAAATACATATTGTATATATATTGTATTGTTATTTTTCTCCCGACGAATTGTGTTTATTCTCCCCGACAGGGGGACCTCCCCACCCTCATTGGCGCCACCCCTGATTATATTCTCATCTTCATCTCACTTGATATAATCTACTTCTTAATAGCAGAATTTGAGTCAGTGTCTGCTGCTTTACCGATCATCGACTGTTTTTCTATTGTTCATGTTATTTAGGTGTTGGCTCGATACATCCACAGATATAATCTGGGCCTTTGTTACGCCGATCCTATTGGTTATTTTCGTAAGTTTATTTGTTTTAAATTAGAAAACAATAGTAACCATAGAGATAAAGCACCAACAATGTTTCCGTGTTACCAATAGAAACATTGGGTTTACTTTGTGATAAAAGGGTTCGTCGTGCTATACCAATGACGTAATGGTTTACACTAACTATTCTTCCGCAGGGAAACACCTTTGTTCTACTGTCTGTTATCAAACGATTCATGAGCCTAAAAGCAAATGTCCGTAAAAGCAGAAGGGAGCGAATGAGGTTGGTTGGCACATATAGATTAGATTAACAAGTATAAAGCAAGAGGAAAAATCCGTCATTAGCAACATTATCAAATCTGCATCATTATCAACACTGTTATCTTTATTATCATCTTCTTTACCATCCTCATCATCATAATTATCATCATCATCGTCTTAATCAAACATAAATTATCATCAATACCAATCATCCTATTAATTATAATCATAATATTGCAAGAGCTGTGCTGGAATATTGCAGGTATATCTTTTCAATAACTATATTTTCTTGTGATTATAATTGTTCCAATTGCGCAATACGGAATGGATGATAGTAAATCACATGGTGTGGATAAATACCTCTACCCGTTATAAAGGTGATAATGAAATTATAATTATAATAATGCATTACTGTATTTGCAGAACTAGCATTCGTGCTGTCTTGATGATGCTACCATTAATGGGAATGACTTGGATATTTGGTTTGGTGGCGTCCTTTGATAAAACAAACTTTTTCGCATACATGTTTGTTATCTTCAACTCGTCACAGGTATAGATAACAAATAGTAATTAATATAACATAAAAAAATAAAAACATCATTCATAATATACAACAGTATTATTAGCCCTTATTACATAAATATAAATAATAATAGTAATAATCCTACTTCTTTATGATACAATATCTGTTGAGGAACTGATTATGATTCTTTATTCTTTGTAGGGGGTGTTCATTTTCAGTCAGCTAATTGTACTCAACAACGAAGTAGGTTTTTATGTCTTTAACCCTTTCCTAAAATAAAGATTCTTTTTTATTATAAGGAAGTTAATTCCAATAAATAGGACATTGAAATTTAACAAAAATACGAGTTTTAGTAAGTGTAGAATAAGGAATAATTATATTTCTTGTATAGTATCTTACAGGGGGTTAACAGGAAGAAATATATTGCTAACTGCTGGTGAAATATGTTTGCTATCAATCTTAATTGTACTTCACTGATAAAATTAACCTTAACATAGTTATCAGTGGTTTCGTTTTGTCTTTCTTTGCCAGATTCCTGTGCTGTTACGTTGACCAATTAATATTATTCATTGCATTATTTCGCTTGCTGTTTGTGTGTTTTGCCCACATGTCTTAAAATTAAAACTGAAATGAAATGCATTTAATTGGATTCAAATTCATAAATTATCCAGTAGATACACCCTGGTAGTTAAAATTCCGGTTATTGTTTTCTTTTTACTCTCTGTTTATTAGATACGCCGACTTTATTACCAGCTCTACTGTAGGCGAAATGTATCAACATCATTTTCCATTTCCACCAATGAACCTGTACGAGGTAACGGAATGACAGCCAAAACCAGCTCAGTTCAGGTACGATGCCCGGTTATACATTTGCTTCCTATGGTTCATTAAATTTATCCACTCAAGAACCAGAATTACGTCCACCATAATGTTGCTAATTTAAATATGTACTGTTTCTTTACTTTTTAATGTTAAAATATATTACTAAATCTCGTATGTTTATATATTCCTGATGATGACATAATTAATGTCGAAATATTGAATCCCGACACGATGACGTGCATTTCAAAACATAGGCCTACCGTAAAACCTCGAAAATGGACTTATTCTTGAGAAGAGGTTCATTTTACCCTCTTAGTTTGCAAATGTAATCTAAAAAAAAAGGTTATCTTCAAAAGAAACCCATGGGCTTCTTTTGAAGATAGTATGGGTATAGTATTTAAAAACAAAAAGAGATTACGCTCAGTAGTTGAGGTGATTCAATGCCGATTAATACACTCCATGATACAGACTGATGTTCTCTCTGATGTTTGGATAAAATACTCTACTGTAATTTTAACATGATTTCATGGATGAACAATGTTTTCAGTAGTCCTATTGTATCATAGTAGTACTTTCCAATATTTACAGCATTCATTTTGAAAAGAAGTCCCCCTTATCCTTTGTTCGTCGTCGTCGTCTCCTGTCACCATTAGGACAAACAAAAATTGGAAAAAAAAACCTCCATGAGTAAAAACATATTTATTTATTATGTTTTAGATATCAGAGGGAAGAAATGTAAAACGAGGTAGGTATACATATTCAGGAAAAGAAATAAGCGATTCATGTTGGCTGAAGAGGTTATCATATGTGATCACTACTACCCATACCGTATAAGCTGTGGTCAAGCAGTATGAAACTCGCCTACGCCTTCCTTAGTGAGGGGCTGCAGGTTCTAATCCTCACCAGACACTTTTCTCATTCAACTGAAAAAGAAACCTCATTAAAGAAAGGTCTTTCCTTCATTAAGTCCTGTTCTAGCACTGTTATCAGTATTTATCTTTTTGTATATAATATAATGAAACAAGTACACACACGACTATTATACTGAAATGAAAATGGTTTTGAAATGGTAACGACAATCGTACATTATCTATTTCCACAGGTACAATTGAAGCTTGGTGAAATATGACATCTGTCGAGTGTCTGCAGTATAGAACTTCTATAGCATTTGTTGTTTTGACTGTTTTTCTATAAGCCAATATTTGTATTATGATATGTTGTACTATTCGCATTACTATGTTTGATAATAACTGTTTTACAAGGAGCGTTCACGTCGATGCAATATTCTCGATGCTTTCACCACTATACACGGAATTCATATTGTTCACCAAATAAGAAGATTTAAATAATTTTCATAATGTATGTTTCTTGTAATGATTTATCATATTGTAACGCTATGCCTATTTATATTATCGATTGAATTACCATAGCCTTATACAGTATAATGGGACTAAAGTTAAGCAATTATTACTGATTTTACTCTAAACTTGTGAACAGCGGTAGGCCTATTATGTGTGATCTTTTGTAAGTTCGTTTGAAATTACTTATATTATTATTATATTTCGATATGATGCATTTTGTGTAATTTAATATATACTTCTTATCAATATA